CAACAACCCCTAAGAGTCCAGCCTGAGGGTCCATCTGCCAAAAGTCTGTTCTTGAACTACAGCAGCTCAGGAGTAAAATCATGTAGCTGTGGCATGTGCACTACAGTGAAATGCAGCAAACATTTCCCAAGGCTCTCTGTACTAAGCACAGTTAGCATTTCTTGTCAAACTTCCTTCTCTTTCAAAAAAGAGACACCAAACTACACTTGATCTATTCATGTTGGTCCCGACATTCCAAAGAAAGATTTTCAAAAATTCAAATTACTTACCAAGCTTTACCATAAATATTATAATGGCACACGTTTGGGGGGAAAAAGTATAGGAACTTAAATTCATGATTTAAAAGATGGTTAAGGAAATAGTGTGTTTCTTAGCACAACAGAAAACTCATTCTCATGGGGAGAAAGCTCTACAGACGCCAAGCTCAGGTTTTAAAGGAGTCACTGAATGACACTCTTAAAATGCACCTAATTTCTACAGGCATTCAACATTACTTTCCCCATCAGGGCAGCCCTGGGCACTTGTAGTCACAGATGATGATAAACCTACAGGCCTGAGAACTGAGGGCCTTCGTATTACTCATGCCACATCTGCTCATCCCACAAATGTCTGCCTGCACAGAGCTAAAAACGGTGGATTCCAATGTAAAAGGCAGTCCCTGCCCTCCACCTCACCTAGCACCTGGCCCAGCAGGAGGAAACCAGCAGTCAGTCAATCTTAAGGTAAGTGAGAAGCACGGGGACAGGTGAGGACCACATACTCTGCAGGCCTGGAGGGGGTGGTGGGAGGGGTGAAACTAGATTTACATTTGAAGGATGAGCAGGAGTTCATCGGCAAAGATGGGAAGACAGGGCACTTACAGCAGAGGTTTCAGGATCTGTGGAAAGCACACTTAAAGGAGACACGCAGAAGTTCAGTGTGGCAAGAGATGAGGCTAAACGGGGGAGCAGGGGCCAGAGCACAAGTCTGGATTTCACTGTGCTGCCAACAGGGGTTTTGATCTGGTCCGAGAGAGTGACTGCTCCCCACGGCTGACAAGGAAATGAATACTCAGACGAAAGAGCCACATCAACAACCCTGCCTATTTTGGCTCAAAAGAGTTAATAAAAAATGTTAAACCAAATCCCTCCTCTGACATGCAAGAATGGCCCAAAGACTTTCGTCACCTTCTCTGGTCCTCAGCTTCCCCGCCTGTGAAACCGGCGCAGCCATGGCACAGGGTCGCCATAACCTGGGAAGCACACCTAACGGCCTCAGAGCAGAGGACCGGCTCCACTGCCGTTCGGCCCAAGGAGCACCAGCACTAGCAGGGCCTGCAGCCCGTGAATCAAGTCCAGCCGTCACAGGTCAAAAGGCACACGGAGAATTCACCGCCACCGTGAAGCTGCCGCGTAATGGTCTGAAGGCAGAGGCTGTTCAGGCCCCTTGTAAATGGGGCAAAAGAAGGAACACCCACCACCTCACACACACGGTCATAAACCCGGGCTCAGGTGGCCCCGGAGCCCCAAGTGGAGCCACGGCCCCACAGTCTGAGGGCAGGTCACGCGCCGCTGGCTCACCCAGGTGGGGACCGGCCCCTCCACCTCCTCAGCAGCAGCCACGTCCCAGCTTGGCCTGCCCCACCCACCCGGCACAGGTGGCTCATTGTCCCCTCACCTCCTTGCACCTGGCAGGACTCCACAGTCACCCTGGAGCATGAGGCACTGCCCAGAAACCACCGACCAGAAAGCCCTTAAAGGCTCCGTGCGAGGCAGAGACCACACGGGACCCCAACAGGCACCTCTCAGCTCCTTTCCCACAAGCTACCCAGTAAAAGCACCTCTGCCCTTAAGACTGAAATGAGTGAGAATGAAACAAAGAGGAGGCCAGGCTGGCTGAAGCCAATGAGACCAGGAAACAGTCATAAGAGGAAGAGACTGCGTGCCTACAACCACAATCCCCAGACCTTTGGATTTCACGAAGCATTCCCCCCAACCCCCAAAACTTGGGGGACTTTTCAAAATACTGCTGAAAAAATTAGACATCCACAAGTGAAAAAATAAACTTCAATCAATACTGTATACTACATACAAAAAATAACTCAAAATGGACCATAGACCTAAATGTTAAACCTAAAACCATAAAACTTCTGAGAGAACATTTGCGACTTTGGACTAGGCAACGATTTTAGCTATGATACCAAACAGAAAAGCACAAACCTCAGGAGAACAAACTTTCATCAAATTTTTTTAACTTGCGCTCTTCAAAAGATACTAACAGAAGGAAAAGACAAGCTTATGGACTGGGAAAAAATATTTGCAAATCACATATTTGGTAAAGGACTTGCATCCACAATATATAAAGAAACCCCAAAACTAAGTAATAAGTTAACCCAATTTTTTAAATGGGCAAATAACCTGAGTAGATACTTCATCAAGGTAAACATACAGACCAGCAAATAAGCACAGGAAAAGATGCTCATCATTAGTCATTAGGGAAATGCAAACTAGAGCCGCAGTGAGACAACACTACAGACCTACCAGAATGGCAAAAACTAAAAAGACTGACCATACAAAGTCCTGGTGAAAACATGGTGGAACTGGAACCCTCACCCACTACCGGAGGGAATGTACTATGATACAGCACTTTAGAAATAGAAAACCGTTTAGCAGTGTCTTAAAACATTAAAGGAACACTATTATACCACCCAGCCATTCCAGTCTAGTATTTATGTAAGAGAAATGAAAGCATATGTCCATACAAGGACTTGTACACGTACACAAATGTTCATATTTCTGGTGGGGCTTTTTTTGTAACAGCCCCAAACTACAAACAACCCAAATGTCCATCAATAGGTGAATGATTAAGCAAAGTGTGGCATATCCAACACTGGATAAGACAAAGAATGAAATACTGATATATGCTACAACATGGATGAATCTCGAAATAATTTTGCCAGACTTTAAAAAGTATATAACGTATGATTCCATTTCTGTACAATCCTACAAAATACAAACTAATCTAACAGTAACAAAAAGCAGACCAGCAGTTGCCTGGCAGGGAACAGCAGGCAGAAAGGACTGTAAGTAGCTAAGGGGAGCTTTTGGGGCTGATGGATTATGTTCATTATCTTGATAGTAGTGAAAGTTTAATACATGTATTCGTATGTCAAAACTTACCAAATTTTGCACTTTCAATATGTGCACTTTATCAAAATATATATACACAAGTGCACCTTATTGCCCGTTAATTGTACTCAATAACGCTGTTTAAAATTCGGGAGGTGAGTAACATAAGGCTACTACCTTTTTATTTTGTCAAGTAAGAATACTCTTTAAAAACTACCAGTTCTTATCATTAACACTTAAAGAACATTTTAAAACCAATTTTTTGAATGGGCAAATGATTGGAATAGACAGTTCACCAAAGAAAATATACAGACCAGCAAATAAGCACAATTTTACAAAGGTCACAATTTCATACTAAAGAGAGCCCTTCCCAAGAAAAGCAGCTGCTAATCCTAATATAAAAACTACATTGGCCTTTGTTTTTCTCACGTTGCTGAGAACACTGTTTCCAACCAGCTTTTGGGTTCGGCTGGGCAGGGAACACAGCCGAAGGCTCCACGGTCCTCAGGCAGGCCCCGAGCTCACCTCCGTCCCCCACCCTCCCACACCCGGCAGTTAGTCCAGAGGGGCAGCACCCCAGCTGCTGCAGCGCCGGGCTGGCCAAGTGAACTGCAGAGCACTGCAGCTGCGGCAGTGGCCTGAGACGCCACGTCCCTCCCCTCCCGGGGGACAAGAAGTCCCAAGAAGAACGTGCCCTGGAAGGTTCCTGGAGCGCTGCCTTGCTGAGAAAGTGACCCGACTTGTTTCTAGAGGAGCCGTTTACCCCCAAGCCAGAGTATCTGTGGTCTGGTGCAAGGAGAAGTTTCATATGGCCACGTTAAAACTGTTCACTGGGAATCTTCCAAGCTCAAGTCCATTGAGCTACAGTGGAAATAAAATATGAGCTCTAAAAAAGGCTGCAATATAGACTAGAGTCCTTCTGATATTGTGCCAGAATGCTAACAGAATCCAAAAGACCTCAATCAGCCAAGCCCTAGAAAGGGACTGGGCGAAACGGCGCAGGGCAAGTGGCCCTCCTCACATGTGGCTGGCTTACTGGTCAGAACAGCTGAGCAGGCGAAAGGCCTGCTCTTGAACCCACCTCCAGCTGTCAGACAGGGAGGGGCAGCTCCACGCTCTGCAGTGTGGGACGAGCGCACTCAGCAAATAAGCATGGAATTTGTTACTTCCAAGAAACCAAATGTACAGTGAATCCAGAGCAGTGCCCTGTGCAAGGACCCCCACACGGACTCGAGCCTGCACACCCAAGCTGCCCGACACACACCACCGCACACAACCATGTGGCCACTGCTCGGCCTGAGGTGTGCACGTACAGTGACACAGCCCACCCTCGGTAGGACGTAGCCAGGGAAGCAGCTCACACAGGTCTTCTAAGTGGGCTAGGGGTTACTGAGACTGGGAATTCCAGGGTCTCTGTCCCCATGCATGGTCTAGAAGGGAAGGCACAGTTCCAGGTGGGCACAACCCTTGGCCTCTCATTTCTCACCCCGTGGAGAGAGTGGCAGTAGAAATGGGCCCAGGGCAGGAGCCCCATGTGCCTAGTCCAGGGCAGCCCTGTCATCTGAAGAGTCTGTGGGCTCCACTGCAGCCCCTGAACTGCCCTAAATATCCACCCCCAGAGCCACAACCTCATAGCCGGCAAAAGAAGCCACAAAGCTGCCTCCCCCAGCTCAGGAACCCTTCAGATTCTCTTTTCAATCACCCCCGGACCTCCCCGCCGCACCCCCACCAATCTCCATCTCCTTGGACTTCAAACCTGGACTCCCGCAACCCCAAGCCGCCCCTTTAGGCTGGAAACTCCATTTAGAATGCTTCCCCGCCTCCCTCAGGACTTGATTCCCAACAACCGCCCCTTGGTCGCAAAGACAAAGGGCCAATTTTCCCCTCCCAGCCTCCGGCTGCTCAGGACCCAAGTGACCCAGAAGAATGACTGGATGAGGCAACGTTTAATGAGCTTGGAGTGGAACGCGGTCCAACTGCCCCTCCATGATGGGGGCTGGCTGTAGAGACACCTAACACGGGAGGTCAGTCATGTTTCAAAATAACTCCGAAGGTATAGTTCTGTGTTTGACATGAAGCTGCGGCATATCTTAGAAGGAAGCTCAGCTATAAAGTTATTAAAAGTAAATATTTAAAGAACTAGCAGCTGTGGATGCCAGGATGGCAGCCTGCAAACTTCCAGTCAGAATAAAGATTCTGTTATGTCAGGGGCTGGGTCAAGATCACAAATGCCGCTTCATTCCACCCCCGACAGAAGACACAAAGTTTTTAAAGTAATTTTTCAGGAAGTTACTCTGTCCTTTGGGCAGGGCCATAAAAGTTAAAACAAGAAAACAACTGCCGAGTATGGAAAAACCAGTGTGCATATAAATCCCCTCAGTCAAGGACTAAACAACATGTATTTCAAATGTCATACATGAGGCGATTATTTGGGACTGAAGATAGAATTATACAATTTTGCTAACAATAAGTATACATTTTTGGTAATTCCAAGTGTCTATAATGTTTACTATGTAGAGGCCTGAAAGCATGTTCCACTCATGTGTCCATACTTGAGCAAGGCAACCTGACGTAAATCAGGTAAGAATTACATTTCTGACAGCTGAAGGAAGCAGCCAGAGACTGGACATGCCCAGGACAAAATAGTCGCACTTTTTTCATTGGCCTTTCTGACGATGCCCTCAGGTCTGGTTTGCTGAATTCTGCAACCCAAGATGCTCACAGATCCAGTGCACACACCACACTTCCCAGCTAGGAGGTCTGTCACTTAACCTCCCTCCGCCCAGCTTCCCGCCGGCACAACAAAGCAGTCAGAAGGGTAAGTACAATCATGCAAGCGAGAGAAGGGCACTGGGCAGGAATAAGCCTCAGTGAGAGAGAGCGGGGAAACGAGAGAAGGGCTGTGCAGTCGTAAAATCTATTGAGCCTTCAAAAAAGGCTCCGTTTATTCTTTAACTTAATCTGTATGCTGTTCTTCCTCTTCTTTCAGCCCCTTAATCAATTACATGACTGCACTCAGGAGGAGGGACAGATTCCAGAGCGTAAACAAACTGCATGGGTGAAGAATGCCGAGCGAGATCCGGATCAACGCATTACCTGAATCACCAACTCTATTCTTGAAACAAAACTTCAAAGGAATTACCAGTCACCTGTGTACATCACGCCTTATCCAGACCCCTACCCAAAAGGCCCTATAAAACCACAAGCCCACAGCACGCCTCTTCTCTGAGGTCCCCCGCACCCCCGTCGGAGTGTGTCTGACCTACCAAATAAACTTTCTCGCTGCATAAGCCCATTGCGTTTCATCTCTGAATTCCTTTTCAAGACAAAGATAAGAAAGAATTCACTGACCTCCACCTCTGGCGGCAAACATCTTTGTCACTTCGCTGTTTCATTCAGCTTTCTAACTGAAACTCCATCCTTTTCTCTCTGTCTCCGTTTTATGTCAGAGCAGCAGGGAAGTGGAAGTCCTCGAACATAATCTCACCATCTCCAGTGCTCCGTGACTCCCCAAATTCTGGGGTGGTAGGGACATAAGTCCCGCACCATGCAGATCAAACAGACACTGGACGCCAGGCGACCCTGACTTTGGGAGTTGGCAAGGGATTTGTCCTGCACCAAGCAGTTCAATGGACTTTGCTTTTTCCCTTCTGTTCTCCCCTGCGCTCTACTGTCTGCACAGCTGCTGACCATCGCCACTACTCGCTTCAATGAATCTCTTTCTTGCTGGCACTTGTTGGACCTGACTGCAAATTCTTTCCCAGTCAAGAGTCAAGAGCCCTTCCCCATCCAAGTTGAGGATTCACCCAGTGTGTGGGGTAAGATCTCCCCAGACACAGTTGCCTGGCAACATCAATAAATATTACATTTTTAAAAATCATTATGATAATGATGAAGTAAAAAACGCGTTCAAAAAGGCAAAAGCTGGAAGGGGACTGGAAGGCTGACAATAAGCCTAGCCCCAAGCAGCCTCCACCCTGGGACAGGGATTTTTAACCATGCTTTGCCCCTGCTGTAACTCCAGTACCTAGAACCATGCCTGGTATGTGATAGACGTTCAAATATTTATTGAATAAATGAATGGAGATCTATGAACCTGTCAGAATCTCATGCAAAAATGTGCATCTGTTTTGTGGAAAAGAGAATCTACTTTCATGAAATTCTGAACAAGATCTAGAAAGTCAAGAAATATTGCTGAATTCCATCCACATCTCAGAACACCACTGACCAAGATGGGGTAAGCAGGGCAGTAAAATTACAGAGCAAAGACTAACAAAGGGGAGAGCTTACCCCCAAAAAGAGAAGGCTGCTCAGGGGCTGGGTGCCATGCAATCACCAGCTTAGCCCTGGGCAGGCCCCAACCTTTAAGTCTGAGGTTTGGATTTGGAAGGTACTTTGTGGCCGGAGCCCCAGTTAAGGAGGAACAGGATTCGTTTAATTTAGAAGAGGAAAAACCCTATGCTCTGTACCATGAAGGCACCTGAGCAGACAGGTGAGGGTGAGCCAGAATCACCACCTCCAGAGAAGGGGGGGATCCAGCAGAATCCTCCAAGACCCCTCAGATGCAAGCACTTTCTGTGCCCCCGCAGGAACTTCAGGCACTCGTATGTGAACCTGGCATGGATTCTGGGCACCCAACCTTGCTTGAAGTTTTTCAACTCAGCCCACAGCACGGGGGACTCCAGCTCCTAACATGCCCTCATCCGTGAGGTATGCAGATGCCAGACAGGCAGAAGGACATACACCAAAATATGTACAGGGCAGGAAAAGGACAACAATAAACATGTACTGCACTCTCCCCCTCAAGGGGACTTTTCTAAAGCTCAACAAGGTCCCTAGATCCCTAGATGACAGCATGTTAGACATCTAATGACTGAGGAAATCAAGATGACAACAGGCAACTATAATTCAAGTCTTAAAATGAACCGGTATTTAATTAACCATAATCACAGCATCATTCACATACAGTGGAGTGTGTGTGTGTGTGTGTGTGTGTGCAGAGGGATCACCACTGAAAGGGGACCCTTAGGCAGACCTGGGTCTGAGGAGTTATTAACCTTCTGTGAGAGGTTTCCTCAACTGTAAAGTGGGCATCAAAGAGTGGCGCAGCAGGATGGCTGTGAGGCTCAGGCGCACACCAATGGCTGCACGAAATGGGGCTAAATGGGTCCCACTGTGGGGCACATATTCATTCATCAGCCCCCACATCAACCACACATTGCCCTGTTTCAGAGAGAGGTCAGTGAGGCACAGAGATGCAGTGACTTGTGTAGGGTCCCACAATTAAGTACAGCGCCAGGATTCAAGCCCCAGCAATCTGCCTGCAGAGCTGCTCCGTGATAACGACCTGCCACATTCGCCTGCAGCCCAGGACACCGGGCTGGCCCAGGACCAGAACTCAGCAGAGGCCTGTCCCGGTCCCACTACTCCAAGAGGGCCCTCCTTTGGGGGAAAGACGCCAGGTCCCAGGCCAGGGCCCCGAAAGCCAACCTCCACGCCCCACAGGAGCCCGCGGAGGACTTGGGAGCAGGACTTCGCAGCCCTGCAGATACTGCAACTTGCCACCTCCTTGCAGAGAGGGAAGTCCCGCCCCCAGGAGTTGCCAGTGGGCTGACAGAAAGGGCCTCACTTCTTCCCATCACGTCATTAACATTATGTTTCTACAAGGCAAAGACTTAAAGGTTTTTTTCCCCCTGCCTTTACTCATTAGTAAGACAGCATGCTATTTTCAACCATTTCTAAATTTCATGAACCTGCAAGTTTCTGGCAGAAGTTGCAGGCCCAAAATAGCAAGTTTGGAGATGAGTACAAAAAAAAAGCCTTCAAAGAAGGTGAGCGTTAAAGGGAGGTAATGAGACAGCCCCCCAAGCCCCAGTCAGGCCCACATCAGCATGAGCAAGAGGGGGAAAAAGCAATCTAGAAGGAAATAAAAGCAGCATTGAAGATAAAGCAACAAATGTCTGGAATTTATTATACCAGCCACTTCATTCAGTTGTTATAAAGGAGACACTGATTTTTCCCCCATGACTTAGGTATGGCCAGGGCCCCACTGCAAGGCCCTGATTCTGTGGGGCTCTCGGGCAGGATAAGGTCTGGGCTCCAGTGACCAGCACCAGTTCTAAAAAGCCGAACAAACTTGATGGGATAACATGCACCCTGTTCAATCCAGAATAAAGCTCGGGTCAAGGGCTGCAAAGGATTCGAGCCTCATGGGCAGTTACCAAATGTCCAGGCTGAAATAACATAACCCTGCTCCATCCCATGCACCCAGCCAAGGCTGGGTGGCTAAGTAGAAATTCCTCAGGAAATAAGACGGGAAGGGCAGAAAGGACAAAGGGAAGCATGTGCCGCTGGGGCTTGGTAGTTACCTTCCAGCTTGGTTGAGAAACCATCAGGATGCCCCTGCCAGAGCCTTCATCACACACACAGCGGACAGCTCAGCCAGTCACCTAGGCAACAGCCAACCTAGACATGTTTTGGCAACTGTGGAGACCAGGGTAAAATACAACTCCCATACTTGTGATAACAACACAGACTGTTAATTAAGCCCAGAGCAACGCATTACTCTAAAATCTGGGTTTATTGATAGAGTAAACACGGGTGGGAGAGGTCACAGGAAGCTGGACAGCACCTTGCCCGGATGCACTTAGGCTTGCATTACTCTAAAATCTGGGTTTATTGATAGAGTAAACACGGGTGGGAGAGGTCACAGGAAGCTGGACAGCACCTTGCCCGGATGCACTTAGGCTAGGCCTGCAGCGCTGGGGAACAAAACTTTGTTATGCTTCTGTGTTATTTGTGATTATTTCCTCTACCTTAGTACGTAGTAATGTCTTCTGTTGTGAATGTCAGCCTTTCTCAGCTGGGATAGAGGAACAAAGAAAAGAGTTTTTGTCCACCGTTAGGCCAGAGAACTAAAGAGGAAGCAGTCCCACGCCTGCCCTGGGTGGTGGAGAGGATGTCGGGGAGGCAGGCAGGAATCCAAGGGAGGCAACCCAGGGCGCAAGCTGAGGGTGGTCACCAGCTCCCCACCAGGAGCCCTTATGAGCCCCTGCAAAGCACATTTTCCTTTGCAGATTCAGGAACACTGGACTCTGCTGGGTGTGAGGGTGGACATCTAAGGGGTTGTGGAAGGTGAAAAAGAAAGCTGGCCTGTGGTGAAGACCACAGTGACTTCCGAACAGAAACAACCAAGGTGAGAAAGCACCAACGCTATAAACCTTCCTGCACGCTCTCTGGGGTCTGTCTACCAACCAACAGAGCTAGGAACATCCCTGAGCAGCCTCAGGAAGCACCTTAGGAAAAATCAGAGGGATGGCTCCAGCCCCAGGGGTGTCCTGATGTACGAATGACCCCAGCAGACACAACCTTGCGTAGACTTTCCCAACATGCATATTATAGGTGAAGAAAAGAAAACCGAACAAGTTCTAGGAGATACTGTGGTTCAGAGTATCATACAACTAGTTTGATGAATGAGCGCAGCCACAAACGTTTACAACTTTGGGCATGCAGAACATTAGCTCAGGTGATTACTAAATAAAGTAGTAAGGACTTTTTCAAAGACTGTTTCTTGCTTATGAAAGTAAGGCAGTTAATTTAAGTAAAATGATATCCAGAAACTTAGAAAGGAAATGTGACTCATTTAAGAAAACCTCACAAGTTTCTTATCTCATAGATACTTGGAAGTTCTAAAGGCCTAGGCATCTTAAAGAGAAAGAGTCCCTCAATATTTTCACCCATAAATAATGGGGGAAAAAAACCCACAAGCAACAGAGCAGGCGTTCAAAACACTCAAAGATGTTTATATCCTTTAATCCAGGATTTCCATGTTCATTTCTGGAAATTTATCCCCAGAAACTAATTATACAAATGAAAAAAGAAATGAAGCTGGAAATTGCAAATCCATCTACAATAGGAAAAAAAGTGGAAATAACCTAAAATGTCCATCATTGGGGGAGTGTTTAAATCTCATTACATCAACAGGGTTATGCAATCATTAAAAGTCTTTTTAAAGACAATGGTAAAAACATGGAATATATTTGGTAAAACATTTCAGAGAACTGGACTAATACAACTGAACAGTGTCAGTCAGTGAAAAGGAGACAGACGTGTGGTCAGCGCAGGTTTCACAGCCTCTCCCCTGTTTAGAAGCCGGATGCCCTTGGACTAAGCACGTCACCTGGACTGCCCTCGTGTTCAGCGAGTGACCTTGGAGGTGGACTGCAGCAATGCACCACTCTTGCT